GAAGAATATGCCTGGTATCCTAGGGATCAAGTGGAATGAGTCTTTGGTTTTCCAAAGTCCATTATTGTACTAATTGTACAAGTATAGCAGCCACAGCCTGGAAAAGACATGGTAACTAGAGATTTAGACCTGTTAAGAGTTAAGCAGAGGATGAAGAGAATCTGTAGTGAGCCACTGTTATACCTTTAGGTTACTGTAGATAGCAACTGTGTATTAAAACTGCAAAAAGCATTTTTTAACCTTAAAATGTTTTTATTACACCCTTTTGCAATCAGTCTACTGACTAAAAAGGATCTTGAATATTTTCTCCATAAAGAAGTAATGTATTTGCGGAGACAGATTTGTTTAACCTGATAATACAATGCGTACATGTTTCGAAACAATGTATTATGTACTCCTTTAATTTAAATATTTGAATATTCTGATACCAAATATTTAACAAAAAGTGTGAACTACAGATTTGTTTACTTGGTAATGATTTCAACGTATACAGAGAAGTCTAAACGAAGTAAAAACAATACTGTGAAGCTGTGATTTTCCTCTTAATTTGGCTTTTATTTAAATAATGAAAGTAGTGATTATCAAAACAGATTTCATCATTTCAAAAAGTAAATGAATGTTAACTACGTTTTCTGGTTGACTATTAGCATATCTAACTTCCAAAAAGAATAGATTATTTGCAGATTTACTTTAGTCATTTAATCTTTGGATTTGGTATCATTTGCAGTAAAGAAGAATAAATTATGGGACAGGTTGGTGATTATAGCTTTTGAGCAGTGATAGAAAAATCTAATCACTGTGTATGAGAAAGTCTTTTAAATATCTTATGAAAATGCAGCTCTTTTGAGGGCAAGGGATTAGTTTCTATATTATAACAACTGCAGAGTGAAGGTCTTGCTATATATCCTAGACTGGACTCCAATTAGGCTCTCTTGCCTAAGTGGACTAGCTGTTCTTTCTTCCCTCCCTCTCCCTCTGTCTCCCTCTTCTTTCCTCTTTCCTTTTCCTCTCTGTCTTTCTCCCTCCCTCTCTCCCTCTTTTGAGATGTTGTCCTATTTGTGTTGCCCAGCTGATCTCAAACTCAAGTAATCTTCCTATTCCAAGCCTTCCAAGAAACCAGGAACATAGGCATTTGTTACCATGCCTGGTTCAGATTTTTTTTTTTTCAAATTAAAGTGAAATTCATAATGGAACTATGACTCAAGTGGTAGACTCAGTGAAAAAGTTAAGGGACAGCACGCAGGTCAGAGTTCAAGACCCAGTACCAGCAAAAAAAAAAAAAAAATTGTATTACATAAAATTAATCGTTTTAAAATGAAGAATTAAGCAATATTTTGCATATTTTCATTGTTGAACAACCACTATCTCTATCTAGTTCCAAAATGTTTTATCATCACAAAAGGAAACTCTATATATCTATCTATTAAGCAATTATTTCCTATTCTCTCTTCTGTACTGCATGAAGTAACTACCAGTCTCTTTTCTTGCCTATGTTGGGTATTTCATAAAAAGAATGATTTATTGTAGGGCTTTTTGTGTCTTGAATTCTTTCACTTGACACATGGGTTTCAAGATTCTTTTTAATGGCTGGACAATTCAATTTTGTGTATACACCACAACTTACTTTACTAATTAAGTCCAGAAATCAGCTATAATCTCACTGAAGTTTTCTTTAAACTGAGATCTAATTACTTAAATATTTGCCTGCTTAGCCCCAGTCTTTTTTTCTACTTCTGTTGGCTACATGTATTTAAATTATTACCAAATCGCTAAGCTGACTTCTATTAATAGAGTCAGTAAATTAACCCTCTACTTTGGAAGTTCTATTCATATATTTGGTAGCCATTTTTTAAATAACATCTCCAGAACTTTTGTCATCATAAGTAGTGTTATTTCTTATTTTGTCTGGTTGTTTTAGAGAAAGAAACACTTGTCCTGGAATATGCCTTTGGTATTTAATACAAATGAAAAAAAAATGCAGTAATTTTGTAAAAATGCCAGTATTCAAAACATTGAAAATTTGAAATATCTAGATGAAAAGGAGAAAATATTTTCCCTTAAAATCTCTGGACAATTTAAAAATTCTTGGCTGGGTGGAAAGGACTTGTTAAGGTGGAGGTAGAGCTAACAATCACTGGACAACCATGTACCAGGAACTGCTTTAAGGTTTCTTTTTGTTTGTTTGTTTTTGTTTTTGTGCCAGTACTGAGGCTTGAATTCAGAGCCAGTGTGCTAGCCCTTAGGTTTTTGCTCAAGGCTTGTGCTCTACCACTTGAGTCATCGCTCCACTTCTGGCTTTTTTTGGTGGTTAATTGGAGACTCATGGACTTTCCTGCTTTTGCTGGCTTTGAACTGCACATCTTCAGATATTTGCCTCCTAAATAACTTAGGATTTTAAGTTCTTTTAATATATATAATAGATAGTGACAGTGACAGAGTAGGATGGTATATGGATGCAGAGAGAAAAGGATCCAGACTGTACAATATAGTGAGACCTTGTCTCAAAACAAAAAGTTAAAAAAGCAAGTTGATTATTGGATGTCCATTTGGTAGAGATTAAAAATTTTTTTACGTTAATATAATTAAAATAATTGTTACTACTATTCAGAAAAAATAAAACTTGAAATGTGACTTAGATTTTTGGAGTAATCCAAAGACAGGGCTTAAAACTCCTGTTCCCTGAGTATCTATTGGGCATTAGTTGAAAATGCTAATAAAAATTGAACAAATATCAATGTATTTTTCTTTCAAGAAACAAAAAATGATATTACATTTTTAGTACCATTTCAACTTGAGTTAAACATTATCATAAAAGAACTGGAGTTTCTCTCTCTCTCTCTCTCTCTCTCTCTCTCTCTCTCTCTCTCTCTCTCTCTCTCTCTCTCTCGGGTCTGTCATGGGGCTTGAATTCAGAGCCTAGGTGCTGTCCCTGAGCTTTTTCTTTTTCTTTTTTGCCACTCCTGGGGCTTGAACTAAAGGCCTCAGCTCTATCTCTATCTAAGCTTCTTTTGCTCAAGACTACCATTCTACCACTTGAGCCAAAGGGCCACTTCTGGCTTTTTCTGTTTATGCTTATGAGGAATTGAACCCAGGGCTAGGCAAGTACTCTGCCACCAAGTCACTTCCCAGCCCTCTCTGAGCTTTTTCTCTCAAGGCTAGCGCTCTGCCACTTTGAGCCATAGTGCCACTTCCGATTTTCTGGTGGTTATGGAGATAAGAGTCTCATAGACTTTCCTGCCAGGCTGGCTTTGAACTGTGATCCTCAGATCTTAGTCTCCTGAGTAGAGTGTCCTGCTCTCTACTTTCTCTTAATGGGTCTTCTGGAATTTACTGTTGAGGTAGGGAGAGGTTTGTGCTCACAATCTGCCTGTGTACTTTTTGTAATGGTGTATCTTCTACAGTTTCATACTGTGATTGTTTGTTCAAATTCAAATGATTCTCTTTTACTTTGTTTCTAAGGATGTATATAGTCTTGCACACATGAACATTTGAGGATCTTGTTGATATACTGTTTTGCATTTGGCAGGGCACCTGGTACACTCTTAACTAGCTATGTAGCTGCTTAGATTAAATGTTGAAGAAACTACCTGATGAAGTAGCAGGTTGAATACCGTACAGAGGGGTTACAATTACATGGGACTCATTATTATTTTTTTTTTTTTGGGTCCGGTCATGGGGCCTGAACTCTGGGCCTGGGCACTGTCCCTCAGCTCTTCAGCTCAAGGCTAGCGCTCTACCACTTGAGCCACAGCGCCACTTCCGGCTTTTTTTCTTTTTGCTTATGTGGTGCTGAGGAATTGAACCCAGGGCCTCTGGCATGCAAGGCATGCGCTCTACTACTGAGCCACCTTCCCAGCCCCGGGACTCATTTTTTAAAACTCTTTCTTGACGGTATTGGACTTGGATTTCGGGACCTTCTGTTTGTTTGGCTCACTTATGTATGGGCTCTTTACCATTTGTCTGTGACTCCAGCCTGGCTTTTTGCTGGTTATTTATTGGAGATGAACTCTTGTGGAATTTTTTTTTATTTTTTTAATTTATTTTTAAAGTTTTTTTTTTTTGGGGGGGGGGGGGGTCCGGTCGTGGGGCCTGAACTCTGGGCCTGGGCGCTGTCCCTCAGCTCTTCAGCTCAAGGCTAGCGCTCTACCACTTGAGCCACAGCACCACTTCTGGCTTTTTTCTTTTTTCTTATGTGGTGCTGAGGAATCGAACCCAGGGCCTCAGGCATGCAAGGCAAGCGGTCTACCACTGAGCCACCTTCCCAGCCCCCTCTTGTGGATTTTTTTTACATGGACTGATTTCAAACCTCAAACCTGAAATCTTAGTATCCAGTTTTAGCTAGGATTTCAGACATGAGCTACCAGCACTGGGCTCACCTTTACATTTTTGAATTAAGGATAATCTGTACTGAACTGGGGATGGAAGTAAAGTACAGAGAAGTGTTTTTGTTTTTGTTTTGTTTTTTTTTTTTTAGTCGGCCGTGGGGCTTGAACTCTGGGCCTGGGCGCTGTCCTTCAGCTCTTCAGCTCAAGGCGAGCGCTCTACCACTTGAGCTACAGCGCCACTTCCGGTTTTCTGGTGGTTTATTGGAGATAGGAGTCTCACCGTCTCTCCTGCCCGGGCTGGCTTTGAAACGCGAAACGCGATCCTCAGATCTCAGCTTCCTGAGTAGCTAGGATTACAGGTGTGAGCCACCAGCACCCGGCTCAGAGAAGTGTTTTTACCTTACTGATTTTCCCATGTTTTGCTTTTCTAAATGTACTTGGTGCCACACTCAATTCATTTTAATTTGCAGTTTTGTTTAATTTGTATAACTAAATTGTTATCTTTTAGAATATCTATTGAAATAAAAATGGGCATTTTCCAAAAGGATTTTTGGGTAAGCTTTGAGATACAATGAATAGTACAATGATTTCCTAGTCTTTCCCAAAGGGAAAACTATTTAGGATTGTGGATTTGAATACTAAGTTAAATATTGTGTTTTACTTCTTCCCTTGTAGTTGTGAAAGTTGTGTGGACTTACTGTTTGTTAGAGGAGCTGGAAACTGTCCTGAGTGTGGCACTCCCCTGAGAAAGAGCAATTTCAGAGTACAGCTCTTTGAAGACCCTACTGTTGACAAGGAGGTTGAGATTCGGAAAAAAGTATTAAAGATGTAAGTATTATTATCTGGATGGGTCAGCCACCAAAATAAGACAACAGTTATTTCAATAATTGATACCCTTAATTGCTGATGTAAGTGTGGACAGATTGAGAAGTGAATAGCCATAACTTCATCTGTGTATTTGTTTCACAAAAATTGATTAAAAGTTTTTAGAGAGCTGATTAATATTTTATATTATTTTATATATAATTTTGATAAAGAAGATTGCATTGTTAGTTTGATGGCTTTAAATTTGTCTTCATTTGCTATTCATTCTTCAATGAATCTATTAAATGCCCTCTATTTGCAAACAGTGTTACTTGTTTTAGGATAAATAAGCATGATAAATATGAGCCCTGCCCTCATAAGGTTTACAGTATAGTAACATGGGATAGCAAAGAGATAGAAAATAAAATGGGGAAACAAAACAAAAATGTAGTAATTTCTACAGAGATAACATTTAAGTTGCGGTTTGAAGCCTATTAGAGAAACTCATGTTAGTTTTCATTTCTTTTAGTATGTATGTGTATATTTTACTTTTCGTTAGTAGTTTCATGGTTCACTTTGTTTTGTTTTTTTGCTTTTTTTGGTTGCCGGTCCTGGTGCTTGAACTCAGGCACTGTATGCTATCCTTGAGCCTCTTTGTGCTCAAGGCTAGCACTCTACCACGAGTGACAGCACCACTTCTGGCTTTTTTGAGTTGTTTATTGGAGATAAGAGTCTTATGGTAACTTTTCTGCCCTAGCTGGTTTTGAACTGCGATCCTCAGATCTCAGTCTCTTGAGTAGCTAGGATTACAGGCGTGAGCCCCCAGTGCCTGGCTAGTGGCTCAGTTTTTGTCTTTTTATTATAAGGTCCTTTACTATTGTGAAATTAGAGGAATACATTTTTGTCTGTGTGTTTTTGTGGCAGAGATTGAACTCAAGGCCTCCATCCTACTAAGCATTGTTTAAGTTCTTACTTTTGGTAGTATAAATTTCAATCCAGATCACTATGTTATAGTAATTTTTCTAGATACCTAACCAATAATACTTTATCAGTGCTTCTGCCTGCTTTTATTCTATAAGATAGTCTCTCAGATTCTGATTTTTCATTATCAATCTCTTGTAGGTTTCTAATTTTTCATAGATACAATACTCAGGATTTTTGTGATCTAGCATTTTTAGGCTGTGATCTGTCATGAAAAGTGAAATCTTCTTCAGTTAGTTTTTGGTTTTCTGCAACTAAAGGAATCTCTAAGAAGCAAATAATTTTCAGTGATACACTTGTTTACCAATCTCACAAGCTCTTAATTTTCTTATTTCTCTTTAAGTCTTACAAACATTGTATGTGTGTATGTGTGCATGTGCATGCGTGTGTGTGTATGTGCATGTGTGTGTGTGTGTGTGCGTGCATGTGTGCGTGTGTGTGCGCGCGTGCGTGCTGGTTCTGGGGCTTGAACTTGGCCTGGGAACTTTGCCTGAGTTTTTGTGCTCTCGGCTAGAGCTCTACCAGTTGAATAACAGCTTCATTTATGGCTTTGTAGTTGTTAATTTAAGATAAAAGTCTCACTGATTTCTCTGTCCCACCTGGCTGTGAACCACTGTCATCAGATTTCATCTTCCTGAATATTGGATTACAGTGCATGAGCCACAGGCACAGACACAAGCATTTTTAAAAATTATTTTAAATTGTGTTAGTCTCTTCCGATTCAATTTCTCTTCTTTAATAGTAAGAGTTTTAAGAGCAGCATTCTTAGGGCTGGGAACATGGCTCTGTGGCCGAGGACTTGTCTGTTATTGCTGAGTTCAATCCCAGCACTGTGAAAACAAATCAGTACCGACACAGTCTCTTCTACCTCCACACACCAAAATTTAGCATTTTTGTTTAGATTGTAAATGGAGTCAAGAAAACTATAGTCTATACAATAAGCAGTCCTTTTCTATATATCATGTATGAATTCGGTAAGGATAAGCAAACCAGTATTAAGTGCAGTATGTAATGTTGATATTTTTCTTTTCTTTAAGATACAATAAAAGAGAAGAAGACTTTCCTAATCTAAGAGAATATAATGATTTCCTAGAAGAAGTGGAAGAAATTGGTATGTTTTTAATTTGATGTGTTAGCTTGTGAGACCATGTTCTTTTATCTTTTTGAGCTTAGGAAAGTATCTTAATAAAAATCTAACAGGTTTTGTTGCCTTAGCTGATGTATATTGAATTACTTTCTTTAGTTTGAATCACGCTTGTCCAAGTGAAGGCATACTTAAATAAAGAATATTCTTATTTATTTGTTTATTTATATTTTTTGTGCTGGTACTGGGTTATGAAGAGTACTTTTTTCTTTTCTGTTTTTTTTTTTTTTTTTTGGTTGGTTGTGGGACTTGAACTCAGGGCCTGTGTGTTATCCCTGATCTCTTTGTGCTCAAGGCTAGCACTCTACCACTTTGAACCACAGTGCCACTTCCAGTTTTTTGGTGGTTAATTGGAGATAAGAGTCTCATGGATTTCCCTGTCTAGGCTGGCTTTGAACATTAATCCTAAGATCTCAGCCTCCTAAGTAGCTAGATATGAGCCACCAGCGCCTGGCAAGAATATTCTGAAGTAATATTTTGTCTTGGGAAAAACATTAGTAGAGTTAACACTTTTTAGCTAGAAAGGTAGGCTGTATCTGTATGTGTCATATGTATGTTGGTAATAGTTAAAGTGAAAGATAACGTTTTTGTAGGTTTTCCAACAACTTTATCTGTAGTAACTAAAGACATGTTTATTATCATTTATGCTTCTGTAACTACGATAGGTTAGAAATACTTTGAAGTAGTTGACTTGGCTTTCTGGAATCAAGATGAACCCCTCCCCTCTCCCCTTCCCTTCCCTTCCTTCTCCCTGCCCCCCACCCCACCCCATTTCTTCTTTGATATCTTGGGCTGTCTTTATTTTGTGCTGGTCCTGGGGCTTGAACTCAGGGCCTGGGCAGTCACCCTCAGCTTTTTTGCTCAAGGCTAGTGTTCTACCACTTGAGCCACAGCTCCTTCTGGCTTTATTTTGGTAGCTAATTGAAGATAAGAGTCTCATAGACTTTCCTGCCTGTGCTGGCTTTGAACCACAATCCTTAGATAGCCTTCTCAATAGCTAGGATTATAGATTATAGATACAAGCTACTGAGTACCTACTTTGGGCTGTCTTTTTAAAAGCTATTTGCTTTTTTGCTTTGTTCTATCTTTTTAATAGCTATTTGCTTTTTTTTTTGGAGACAAGATCTTTCTGATCTAGAATTGGAGATTTTCCTGCCTCAGCCTCCTGAGTGCTAGGATTACAGATCTGTACTACCTTGATGGTAGCTGTTTCTGTTTTCTTAAATCAAATTTCAGAGATGTTAAAAGGTTTGGAAGTTATTATACATTGACTTAAAGATTCAATGTTTATTAAGTTTTTTTTTTTTTTTTTTTGTGGGTCCTAGGACTTGAACTCTGGGCCTGGGTGCTGTCCCTCAGGTCTTCAGCTCAAGGTGAGTGCTCTGCCACTTGAGCCACAGCACCACTTCTGGTTTTCTGGTGGTTTATTGGAGATAAGAGGTTCATGAATTTTCCTGCCCAGGCTGACTCTGAACCACAATCCTCATATCTCAGCCTTGTGAGTAGCTAGGATTACAAGTGTGATCCACTAGCGCCCAGCTAGGTTTTTTTTTTTTTTTTTTAACTTGCCATAATGACTTACCTTGAAGTGAAGGTTTGGAAATTTCACAAATGTAGACTATGGTATTAGGTGAAACTTTGAGGATCAAACTGTCTTTTAAAAAAATTCTCTCAAACTTGTAGCCAACTTTATTATTAAAATATTATAGTAAAATTGATTATTCCCTAGATGGCTCTTCTTTATGGTAAATTTTTAGAAAATTCAAATTCTTGGGAATGAGCATTCCAATTAAAAAAAATTCCTTTTTGAGAAAGTGCAGAAAATTTTTTTTTTTTGTCTGTCATGGGACTTGGACTCTGGGCCTGGGCATTGTTCCTTAGCTCTTCTCCTCCAGCTCTCTACGACTTGAGCCCCAGTGCTACTTCCCATTTTCTGGTGGTTAATTGGAGATAAGAGTTTTATGGAGGGCTGGGAAGGTGGCTCAGTGGTAGAGTGCTTGCCTTGCATGCCTGAGGCCCTGGGTTCAATTCCTCAGCACCACATAAGAAAAAAGCCGGAAGTGGCCCTGTGGCTCCAGTGATAGAGTGCTAGCCTTGAGCCGAAGAGCTGAAGGACAGTGCCCAGGCCCAGAGTTCAGGCCCACGACCGTCCCCCCCAACCCCCCCCCAAAAAAAAAAAAAAGAATCGCATGGACTTTTCCTGCCTGGGGGGCTGGCTGGCTTTGAACCTTGACCCTCAGATTCAGCCTCTTGGGTAGCTAGGATTATAGGCATGAGCCAACAGCGCCCAGCTAGAAAATCTTTTTGTTTCAGTTTTTATCAAAACATTTCCAAAATGTTTAAGGTATAGCAGAAGCATGTAAAGAACCCATTGCAACAATGAGACCTGTACAAGTCCTACGTCGAAAATGAACTTTACAACTTTGGTGGGGGTGGGGGGGAGGAGGGTTGGGTGACAGGGTTGGGGGAGGATGGGATGGGAAGGGGAAACAAAGGAGGAGGCTACAATGCTTGATAAGAAATGTACTCATTATCTTGCCCATGTAATTGTAATCCCTCTGTTCAGTATTTTCACAATTAAAAAACAAATTAAAAAAAAAGAACATACATTAAGATTCACCCATTCCCCCATCTTTTAGTGCTGTGAAGCTGTTTCCTTTTTCATTTTATTGTATTCATTGCATTTTTGTACTGATTATAGCAACTAGGAGTGGCTATGGATTTTAGTTGAACAGCTGATAGAACTGTGAATCTCTAGCCAAAGTAGAACAGTTTGTGTATGGATTGAGAAGTTAACCTACAAAAGAAATGTGTAGGATCTGGGGAAGTATGCACTTATAGAAACTTATCTATACATAGATGCAAGCAGTTAGCAATCAGAAAGATTTTACTTATACTCAAAAGACAGTGTGATTTACCAAAAATCAAGTGAGGCAATAAAAGGAAAAGATATTATAGTTATAGATGTTGTAGGGCACATTGAGTACATGTTTATAATTCCAATCAGAAAGTCAGGATAACTAAGAGAAGTTGATGGATTAAGTCTGTGGGGACACAGTTTTAAGGGAGGAACTACAAAGTGATCTTGAGCCTGAGCTAAGGTTCTGATTGAGTCAGGATTTCATAAAATCGTAAAAATTATGAAATTTCTATTATTTTGCTCTGAAATCAATCAGTGTCAAGGTATGGACAACTTGGGGTCCGTAGGTAAAATCAGGTTCATGTCCAGGAGTAGAACATCTTTTTAATAGGCAAGAACAAGCCTGGATATTGGGCTATATACTATGTAGTATTTTCCTTACCAAATTTGGAGCTATGGCTCAGGTCAGTTCATTTGAAGCAATTACACATTTCATGAAGGACTATCTTAAAGTGTGTAGAAACTCTTTGAATCACCATTTAAATTGTCCCATTGGAGTAACTGTCATCCTCCAGTTCTTCCATAGAATTTACTGACTCATGGGCAAGGCATAATGAATGCCTGGTAATTGCTCCCCCTGATGTATCTCTATACTTTTCTCACCAGTTTGATTATTCTCTTAAGTTGTTTGTGTTGATAAGCAAACCAAATATACTTGTTATTGCACTTAGGTAATTTAGGTAATTCATATGGTTGGGGAAAATTACAAATCTATAGGATATGGTTTTCAAGTTCTTGGTTCACTTAAAAAAAGGATAATGAATACTGTGGATAATAATTATGGTTTATTTAATAAAGAAGCTGAACTTCATTAAAACTGGACGTTGGCTGTATGTTATTAAGTTAGACTGACTATACTCTTAGAATATATATTTTAAGTTAAAAATAAAGAGGGTGGATTGAATGCCAGCGGCTCATGCCTATAATCCTAGCTACTCAGGAGTCTGAGATCTGAGGATTGAGGTTTGAAGCCAGCCTAGGCAGGAAAGACTCTTGTCTTCAATTTATCACAGAACAAGCCAGAAGTGGTGCTGTAGCTCAAGTGGTAAAGCGCTAGCCTTGAGCAAAAAAGCTCAGGCAGTGTGCCCAGGCCAAATTAAAAAAAAAAAAAGAGTGTGTGTGTGTGTGTGTGTGTGTGTGTGTGTGTAATATATATATGGGATGGATGGGGAAAAGAGAAGAAAAAGGTAAAGGGGGGGCGCTACAGAGACAGAGAGAGAAAAAAAGAGTTTGTGTATGTATGTGTTTCTCACCTTTAAAAGGAAAACACAGCAGGGTGCTGGTGATTCACACCTATATTCCTGGCTACTCAGGAGACTGAGATCTAAGCATCATGGTTCAGAGCCAGCCTGGGAAGGAAAGTTTGTGACACTTTGTCACCAGTTGAACACCAAAAAAAGCCATAAGTAGAGTTGTGGCTCAAGTGGTAGATCACTAGTCTTGAGCAAAAACCAAAAAAGCTCAAGGACAGTACTCAGGCTTTGAGTTTAATCCCCAGAACAGGCACACACATAAAAAGAAAACAGTCAGATACTGGTGCCTTGTGTAAGCCTTAGGAGGCTGAGATATGGCGGATCATTGTTCAAAGTCATTGCAGATAGAAATGTTTGAGAGACTCCATATTCAAAACAACCAGCAAAAAGTCAGCCTGGAAGTATGGCTCTAGTAGAGTGACAGCCAAGCAGGTAAGCAGAGCAAGTGCAAGACCCTGAGTTCAAAACCTGGTACTGGCAAGTGGAGGGAGAAAAGTGGGAGGGGAAGACAGGAAGAGAGGAGAAAGGAAGGAGGATGGGAGGGAAAAGGAAGGAAGAAGGGGAAGAGAGGACTGAGAGGGAGGACAGAGAGAAGTTTTGATTGTGCTAGGAGATGAATAGGTATTCATGTAAACAGAATCTGAGGAATGACTGGAAATGAAACTTTGCAAAACAAGTTGAATCTGGGGTAAAGAGGGCTTAGAACCATGGGCAACAATAGACAGTAGTAGGATTCACCAAACTAAAAAGCTGCTACAAAGCAAAGGAATCATCAGAGGCAGGCTACAACAGAG